GGCTATCAAAAAGGTAAGAAATAATAAGTGTTGAGAAGGATGTGGGGAAAAGGAAACCCCTGTGTACCTTTTGTGGGAATACAGCCACTGTGGAAAATAGTATGGATATTCCTCAAAGGATTAAAAACAAAAACTAACACATAATCCAGCAATCCACTTCTGGGACTTATCCAAAGAAAATGAAATCCTATCTTGAAAAGACATCTGCTCTTCTATCTTCACTGCAGCATCACATACAATAGCCAAGACATGGAAACAACCTAACTGTCCATCAATAGATGAATGGATAAACGTGGTCTCATTATATATAATGAAATATTATTCAGCCATAAAGAAGGAAATACAGTGGACCTTGAGGGTGTTATGCTAAGTGAAATGAGTCAGACAGAGAAAGATAAACACTGTCTGATCTCATTTACATGTAGAATGAACAGATTGATGGTTGCCAGCGGCAAGGGGTGGAGAGGTGGGTGTGGGTAAAATGGGTGAAGGTTGTCAAAAGGCATAAACTTCCAGTTATATGACAAATAAATCCTGGGGATGTAATGTATAGTATGGTAACTATAGTTAACAATACTGTATTATGTATTTCAAAGTTGCTAAGACAGTGTATCTGATAAATTCTCATCACAGATACACACAGAACTCTGTAACTATGGTGAGCAGTGTTAACTAAACTTTGGTTATCATTTTGCAATATATTCATATGTTAAATATTATGTTGTACACCTAAAATACAATATATTTCAATTATGTCTCAATTTAAACAGAAAACAAACAATATAATGGACAAGACTGACTTGCATGCATGCTACAGAGGAATTGACTGTGAAAGGAAGAGTGAATCATCATTGTAGTCTTATTTCAGGAAATATCACAGCTACCCCAACCTCTAGCAACCACCACCTTGATCAGTGAACAGTCAACAACATACAAGAAAGACCTACCACCAGCAAAAAGACTATGACTCACTAAAAGTTCAGAGAATGGTTAGCATTTTTACCCTTACAATATTTTTAAATTAAGGTATGTACTTTTTTTTAGACATGACACTATTACACACTAAATAGATTGATGACAGTGTAGTGTGAACAAAACTTGTATGTGTCCTGGAAAACCAAAAAATTCATTTGACTTGCTTTCTGGTGATACTCACTTTATTGCAGTGGTCTGGACCCAAACCTGCAGCATATGCAACATATGCCTGCACCAGAACCATGACAGAATCACATCTGCTTGGCTTGTTGTGATACTTAGGAAGTTTAAAAAGAAGTGGTCTCACACAGGACCTCCCAAGGTGGAGGCGCTTAATGAAATTCCTAGAGCCCTGAGTCTAGGCCTCAGGTTGTAGTTTCAAATAATGATTGCTCTTTTCCTTTTCAATTGTTTTTAAAAAGTGCTCATTTTAATACATGAAATTTTAGGAAGAAATGTTTATTGATGTGCCCTCAAACCTCCCATCTATGCCCAGTCCCTCTATCAGGGATGGTAATATGTTAATGTTTTGATATGTAACTTTCCATACTTTTTCCAAGCCCCTAAATCCGTATTTGTACATAAGTATAAGGTGGTTTCTAAAATAATAAAAAAGGGATACTTATTAAATAATGAAAAAGATCATAAAATACACACTTTTGTGAATTTGCTTTATCACACCAGTACTAGAGAGCTGATGGTATGGAGGTGAACCAGATGAAGAATCATAAATGTTCCTTAAGAACAACACTTAGAGCTCTTTTTAATGACTGCATAATATGCCATAGTATGTGTACATCATAATTTGGTCAACAGATTTCCTACTGAAGATGTTTGGATTGTTTGACTTTTTCCAGCAACATCATGCCATAATAAACATTCTTGTATTCATATCCTTACATATTCGTGTGCTTATTTAAGATATATGGGATTTTCTATTGAAACGTGCATGTGTGTATTTATAATTTTAGTAAGTATTTACAGGTTATTTTCCAACACTATGACAACAGTATGTGAGAGTATCTATCAGTTTCCCCATATCCTGGCAAGCAATGGATGGTAACAATAAAAATTTTTTTGTTTTTGCCTACTTGAGTAAAAAATGGTATCTCATTGTTTTATTTACATATCCCTAACTACTAATAGATTTAACATATTTTAAATTTTTATGTACTCAAATATATATTTTTAAAATAGCTTTTGTGTTAGTTTAGTTCTTCTTTAATGCAGTTATATAATATCCTAAAATCATAGTATTTTTACCATATTTTTTCATTTAGCTCTTCCATCTACCTGAAATTTATTTTTGTACCTAGTATGAGGTAGGAACCTGTATTTGTATTTGCTACATTAATAACCAGTTTTGCCAATATTTTTTAGTACACAAAGAGTTGATACTAACTCCCCCACTAATTGCAGTCTCATTAATTACAGTCACATATTAAAGCTATAAGGCCTATTTATTTGTTTATTTCAATAAACTGCTAAGTTAGCCAGAATATTACGTTAGCTCCTTGAACATTTGCTCCCCAGTGGAAAGTCCTATATGGGAAACCTGCTCAGGGGGTTTAGGACTAGAAAACCAGTTAAAAATCTTAGTGACTAGTGTTAAAAGTCTATGACAGCCTTTGGTATAATAAAAAATAAGTATTTTGTCTTTGTTCCTGTTCAAAAGTCCTACACCCTGGAATTCCCTGATAGGAGCATCTTTTGTTATTTATAATGAGTCTCTTTCCATCACCCCGGAGTTTATGTTAATAAGGTGACCTACAGTGGAGCCCCTAGATAGGCTCAGGATGGGCCTGGTTAGCAGAAACTCCAAGTGATGAGAGGACCCATGCTGCCCGTCACCTTTCATTCAGTAATTCTTTTCCTATATGGAAATCTTCATTTAGATTCTTAATTCTTGCATTCAGTAAACGTGTCGATTACTCTACTAAAGAGTTGGTGGTACTCAGGTGAACTAGATGAACAAAATTCCTGCTGTAGTTGGGGGGAGCCAGTCAATAAAACACACAGAGAAAAATGAGTTAAATAAAATAAGGAATGTGTTCTGTTCTGAAAAAGCAGAAAGGACTCATTCTAGGGAAGAAGGCACAGGCAAAAAAGTATGACAAATATGTGGCAGGGATGTATGTATTTATTTTAAGTGCTCCCAGAGTTATTTTGTACATATGTACACGCAAATGCATACATGCCTGGTCTTCCTTCTATACTCCCCCTTTCATTTTTTCCCAAATAGCACTATCCAATACACATCATTCTAGATCTTGCACAGTGCAGCTTTATTGTATCATATGAGAACTTAAAGAACTTCTTCATTAAGAAGAAATGGCTTTGTAACATGAAAAGCTCAGTTTAGAGTATATTAATGCTACAAATATTTACAAGGAGGTCAAGGCCAGATTCACAGGAGACTGAAAAACTGAATGTGAACTTGAAGATTTAAGGACTAAGAATGACTTGAATTTCAGGCAAGGAGTTCTCAGAAGTCTAGTTAGGAGCATTTTTGTTTTGCTTTGCTTTTTAATACAATTTCGATCTCTCATTTATCCTAACTGCCACACATACCCCATGTTTGACTGCTCAGCACACTAGCAATCACTCATACTGATCACATAGCATTTAATCAACACCAGTAAGTATCTTTGATGCACAATACATGTAAATGAATAAATAAGTAACAAGATAACCATTTCCACCTCTTTCTCATAAAAGGTGGGAATTTGGGGGGAAAATGACCTTTAACATTCATATATTACACCCCACCAATGTGGCTGAAATTCAATTTATGAAATATTTTGTAGGATGAGACAGACAAAGTGAGGAAAGAATAGGGCCAGGTCTGTCAGCCAGGAAGCATGAGGTGCCTATGTAGTTGGGAAGTAGAGAGAGCCTGTGAGGGAAGGAAGGACAACAGGATTTGGTCCCTGGTTAGAGGGCATCAATCAGAACACTTCAAAGATGATCCGAAGGCTTGTAGGAAGAGAGATCACACTTTCAGAAATGAAGTGACCAGTAAGGAGAGATTCTCATTTTAATGTGAGGTACAAAGACTTGGATTTAGGTGGGACCTTAGAGATAACATGTCCAACATTCTAACTTAAGACTGAAGAACCTGAAGTGCTTGCCTAAATTTGCACAAGTAAGGGGCGCGGTATAGGCACCACCCAAGTTTAAGGGATGAATTATAAACTCAGAGACGTCCTTCAGGTGGATAGAAACGCCATACTCCAGAAGCAGATACCCTACCAAGCCCTAGCTCTAGATCTGCCAAGTATATGAGTCTTTAGATACTGGAGTGACAGAGTCCTGGAAGTTCAGGGTACGTGGAAAGTAAGTGGCTTCAAGTAGGGAAGGAACTAATACTTCTGACCTTCTACGTACCCCTCACCTTACAATTGGCTATCTCATTTAATTCTTACCACAACCGTACAAAATAGGTATTATCATTTTAGCGATGAGAAGCCGGGTTTAGAAAAGCTAAATAAATTGCTCAAGCTAAAAATGACGGATCTCAAATTCTAACCCAAACCCAGATGTGTATAGAGGCCAAGTCTTGCTCATTCCGCGCTCTCATACCGCCCTACTTGAATCAATACACTTGATTTTATGTCCAGAGAAGTGACTTCACACACATGCAGAAAGGCTGATCCACAACCTCTCGGGTAAAAGGTCTGGGTGTGGGGGGAACATGCCTTTAAGGACCTGAAAATCTACGCGATCCTACAAATGATGGGGAGTTGGGGGGAAGCAATCAGCTAAGGAGACAAGCGAGGAGGAGGAAAGGGACTCAGAGCTGCGGTCAGAGGGGTGTGAGGAGGAAAGGCGTGAACTGCGTCCTTTTGCCTCTACTCATCCCCGTTATCAAAACAGACCGGCCATCGAGCGCATCAGAGAGCGAAGCCTTGGCCAGCTTCATTCCTTATCGCCTCCCAGGAACTAAATTTTAGTCCTTAGCTTAAATCTGGAAAGACTAAGTAAGGAAAGCAAGGTGTGCACTTCAGGCAGAAGTGGAAACTTACAGTGTGAACCAAAACGTGAGCCATCCAGAGGCAGTGATTTGAGGACGGTTTCAAAGAGTTGAGAAAGGCGAGGGAAGTAGCAGACGCGCCGGCCGCCAGGGAGGGGCCGCAGCCGCCCGCGCCGCGTTTCTTCGCGGCGCACGCCGCCTCCGCCCGGCACGTGATCCGCCGTGTTGTGGTCCGGCCGGCGTGGGTGGCGGGAGCGGCGGGAGGGCGGAGGCGGCGAGGGGCGGGTCACGTGACGGGGTTTAAATCTCCCGCAGCCCGAGCCGCGGGGGCGCCACTGCCGCGAGTCGAGCGGGAGCAGAGGAGGCGAGGGAGGAGGGCCAGAGAGGCAGTTGGAAGATGGCGGACGAGGTGGCGCTCGCCCTTCAGCCCGGCGGCTCCACCTCGGCGGCAGCGGCCGAGAGGGAGGCCACGTCGCCGCCTGCGGGGGAGCCGCTCCGCAAGAGGCCGCGGAGAGATGGCCCCGGCCTCGGGCGGAGCCCGGGCGAGCCCGAGCGTGAGCTGCCGGCAGCTGCCGGGGGCTGCCCGGCGGCTGCGCTGTGGAGGGAGGAGGCGGCGGGCGGGGAGCAGGAGGCCCAGGCGACGGCGGCTGGAGAAGAAGACAATGGGCTAGGCCTACAGGGCCTATCCCGGGAGCCGCCGTCGGCCGACGACTTATACGACGACGAGGGCGAGGAGGAGGAAGAGGCGGCGGCGGCGATTGGGTACCGAGGTGCGCAGGGCGCGGGCGGCCGGGACTGCGCATCTCCTCCCGCGGCCCCTCCTGGTGTGGGGTGGGGGCGCCCTGCGGGTTCAGGGAGGCTCGGCTTCCCGCCGCGGCCCTCCACAGCTGTGTTTTTCTGGGGCTCCCGGCACGGTTCTTCCCCTCCCCTCCCTTTTACCCTCAGTCCGCTGCCCGTCCGGCGGCCTCGCGCTTTGCGCAGCCGCCTGGCTGGGGAGCTTTCGCAGTTGGTTTTAAAATGGGGTCTCGACTCCTACACCTTTTGGCATATTGCTTTTGTTATTTTTTGCCCCCACCCCCCACCTGCAACTTTTGCATGTTCTTGCATTGACCTTTTGCAGTTTGTCTTTGCAAACGGACACGTGCAATTTGTGACTTGTTTGAGGGCCTTTAATTTTAAACTTTCTATACTGTGTGGCAGTACCTAGAAAAGTGCCTGGCACTTCTATATTCAATAAATATTAAGTATGTGGATGAATGAGAAAGTATTTTGACATTTATTACCCTTCTACAGCGCAATTAATAGTGGGCATAGAATTACTTTTACTTTGTATGGATAGTTTTTTACTCTAATCATGTTCTTTAATAGTTTTTGGATCAGGTATATTTTTGTGTATATGTGTAACCCCGAAACATGCATTGACATTTTTCTGGCATGCTAAAGCAGATGTGTTAGTTGCATGTGACGTGTCGAGGTTTTATATTTTCGATCTGGGAAGTTTCTGTCCTGGATAGATGGGGGTCTTTGTCACTATATCAATAAAACCAATCAGTGTGTTATTTGATTATATGTGTGCATGGGGGACTGGATTAGTAAAAGGACCCCTGATTTCAAGAAACACAGTTTAGAAGATAATCTTTGCATGTGTAGTATAAGAAAAGTGCAACTTGGCCATAGTTACAATTGAACAATTTTGGGGGTAAATTTTAACAAGTTTAATGAATTCCATTATTTGTGCATGACCAATTCAGTCTGTATTACTACTTTTTGTGTTTTGATTAAGTAGACTTAATTTATTTTTAGATTTTTATCGAAACTTTTAGAGTCTGGGTAGAATCCCTAAAGATAGGATAAACTGTTCTATGAACCTTGGAAGCTTATGCCATAGGCATTTTATACACAAGCAGCGTGTATGGTGAATGTTAAAGTGCTTTATTAAGTGAACATAGTTGCATTATAACCATTGTAGATTTTAGTATGTTTTAGATTCAGATTGTTTCAGCAGCCTTGAATTATTTTTTACTTACTTTGCAGATAATCTTCTGTTTGGTGATGAAATAATCACCAACGGTTTCCATTCCTGTGAAAGTGATGAGGATGATAGAGCCTCACATGCAAGCTCTAGTGACTGGACTCCAAGGCCAAGGATAGGTATGGCTTCTATAGTTTTAGAGAGTAAATGTCTTCTTTTCTATATTTTCATTTTATACCAACTAAATATATAATTTCCTGCTGCCTTCTAATCTGGGAGATTTAATGTCACCACATATTTCTAGGGGAAGTGTAGTGTTCTGCTCCGTTTTTATTTTTAAACAGCTCAAGCCTATGGAAACTGGCCTCTTTTCATCGGCCAGGTTCTACCTCAGGGCCTTTTCAATTGTACCCTCAGTATGGCGGTCCTGTCCTGCAGTTAAAATACTTGCTCCCTCACTTCATATCTGTTCTTTATTTTTTCTCAACACTTCTTACCATAGCTGTGTACCTAACTTTTTTATTGTCTTGATTCCTGTACAAGAATGTAAGCCCCTTGTGGGTAGGGATTCTTGACTGATTTGTATACTGTGTGTCAGTACCTAGAAAAGTGCCTGGCACTTCTGTGTTCAATAAATATTAAGTATGTGGATGAATGAGAAAGTATTCTGAAGTATACTACCAGATTTTTATACCAAATAATAGCATGACATCTCAAAAGTGATCTTGTTGTTAATGTGCTCTCGTTCTTTCAAAAATGCCTTGACTATTTAAATGTAGTGATTAGTTCCTTTTTAGAGTCTAATATTTACTGTATTTTTGTTTTTATCAAGCTAGGATACTGATGTAAGAAATTTCAGGGTAAGAAAATGCTCAAAACATCAGCACTGTATATCATTCTGGGAGAGATGGTTAAGGTCAAATTGAATATTACTGGAAAAAAATAATTATCAAGTTCCTTTTTTTTTGTTTTTCTTTGTCTTTAGTGATAAATAGTGGGCTTTTGGAACTGGTGAGATCTTTCCTATATTGATTTGTAGAACCTTTTTGTACAGACTTGTGTTATTGTGTATTTTTCTAGATTTTAGCCATAGAAATTTAATTCTGGTAATTAACTAGTTTGACTCTTAAAGTGCATTCTTGGTATTTATACCTCAAAGGGCAGTCTTAACTCCTGATCTGATGTCTCTGTAATCTCCTTGGGATATAGCCTTCGCTCTTGAAGATGTCACTTCAATGAAATATCTTTGCATTACATTTTTTTATTTTGCCAGAAAACCTTAGATTGCTAATTCCTTACTTCAGAAAATAGTTGAGATGCTGAATTATTTGGAAATGGATTTGACGTAATTCTTTTCCCTCTTAATATAGGTCCATATACTTTTGTTCAGCAACATCTCATGATTGGCACAGATCCTCGAACAATTCTTAAAGATTTACTACCAGAAACAATTCCTCCACCTGAATTGGATGATATGACATTGTGGCAGATTGTTATTAATATCCTTTCAGAACCACCAAAAAGGAAAAAAAGAAAAGATATTAATACAATTGAAGATGCCGTGAAATTACTGCAAGAATGCAAAAAAATAATAGTTCTAACTGGAGCTGGGGTATGTAAGATGTATAAAACACTAGTAAAAGCGAGAGGAGGTATATGTTCTTAGGCGTTTTCCAGTTAAACATTTTTTGGCATAGAAGAGCTTATCTTTATGTGATAATTGGAATTTGTGTTTGGAAACTGCTTCAGAGTGAGTGTAGCAACCGTTGCTAAGTTGGTTCAGTTCTTTAAAAACCTCTCCAACAACCTGCAAAAAAGATTTGCTTGTTAGAACAGTGAGTAAGTGGAGTTAAGCCAAAGTATTTACCTACATTATACCACAGCACCTAAAGGAAATGCTGGGTATTTTACTTGCGTTCAGATGTGTTAAGAGTCTGATGGAGAATTTGGTTACTTGTGTTTGATCTTTATGGAAAACCAGGAACCTAATTGGTATTCACAGGTAAAGAACTTAGTGTTAGGAAGGCAACAGATTCCTACCTCCCCTCCATTTTAATTTAAGGTGATATAATTGTAGTGTCCTGGCATTTTTCATTTGCCCTACTTAGGGTCGCAGTGAACTAGCTACCTAAGGCTATTGAGTATTATGTGTTGAATACAATATATGTTACAGAGTATGGTAATGATCAGGGCAACTCCACAGTAAATTCAGGCTTTTTTTTTTTTGCCATTTTGAGTTAATGGGAGGTGGTTATTTAATCTTAAAGGATCATCAAGAATAAATACCTTTTTCTCCCAGATGAGATTGCAACAAGTTTGTTTTACTCTGAGGTCAAAGTGGAGTCAAGGTTTTACTCTGGTAAAATTGTGATACAAAAAGATAACTTATGAAATCCCTGTTTGAAATGTCAAGGTTTATTTGTGGCAAAAGCATACTGTCTAAATTTATAATTAAAAATTAAGAACTGAAATATTATACAACATAATTTTTAAAGAAAATTAATATTCTTAAAGAAGTTAGAGCCCTAACCAGATGAGAGATGTCTTTGGCAATACTTGACTATAATAGAAATTCTTGCCTGCTTTCTTAAACTAATTTGAAATCATTTACCCCTTTCTTAATCAAATTGCAATTGCTTTAATTTGTTTGTTAAATGCTTAGAGGTTTAAAATTTGCCTGGCTTAAAATTCCTTACCCCATTATGACTGGAATGTGTTGGATTTAATTATCCTGGTTTTTTGGTGTCTTTTTTTTTTGTGATATTAGAATAGGGGACAGTATTTTGTTCTCCAAAAGAAGTGTCAAGCTATAGTGTTTTTCAGCTCTTTCCTAATTGTGTGATAGGAGAGCTGGTAATTATAAAGGTAGAGGTAGAAGATTTAATTGTACAAATTATGCCATGCATATTTCAGGTTTCTGTTTCTTGCGGAATACCTGACTTCAGGTCAAGAGATGGTATTTATGCTCGCCTTGCAATAGACTTCCCAGATCTACCAGATCCTCAAGCAATGTTTGATATTGAATATTTCAGAAAAGATCCAAGACCATTCTTCAAGTTTGCAAAGGTACTATGAACTCTTGCAGCTGTTTCTTTGACCTCCTTTCATGAAAAAGTATTGTTCACATTTAGGCTTCTTAAGTTTACTATTCATTGTGCAATAAATTGGGTACTAATAGTTTGGTGGAATGAAATCATTGAAAAAGTCATTTCA